TTAAAGGTACTTTTTATTTGAAAGCTGTCATCGCCCTTTACCTTCAAAAGTAATTAATCATTTTAAATATGATTAATTGCCCTCCTTAATTACCGATGACCTTCTTCAGTAGGTGTAGTTCGGCGGCATAATTAAATAAAAAAAGGCATCAAAAGGAGTGAATTTCCGGAGGAGAGCGATTTGGGTTGTTCCAAAACAAAACTAATGCTTAAAACCCCTTTAATCCCATAGGATTGTCGGCAAAATCAAAAGAAAATACCCCCTATAGGCTCAGGTTGATGTGACAGTTCATCAAATGGGGTGAGCGATTTGGGTATGTGGAGCGATTGGGGTCTAGTTAACTACTCAGAGCAAGAATTTTCTCTAAGAGAAAAAATTTTTTCTAACTAATCAAGAATTCAGAGGCACCGTTTTTGGCTCTGACCGACATTCAAGGCATTTCTAATTGGCTCGACATTTGACAGAGTAGGGTTATTTTGTCCGATTATATAATATCTTTAGAAAAGTTATTTAACTTCATAAATTAAAATTTATAAATTTAAGGCTTGAGACTTTTATAAACTAATGACTCAGTAGTTGATAAAGTTTAGGATGTCTAGCTAACGGACAGGACTCAAACATACAGTAATGAAAAAGGTCTGGAGCTTTCCACACACTATATTCTACAAATAAGACCCAGTCATTCTATTTATCTCGCGTCCTCTCCCATATGAGACGAGAAAATAAATTATGATGAAAAATAAAATTAAAAAAGGAGGAGCCTGAATAATTTTTGGAAGCTATCTATAAGGCGTGCGTTTAGTTTTGACTTATAAAAATGGATAAGAAGTCCATTGAACCATTAATTAGAAAAAACCAATAGGAATACCATCTCTATAACTATTCACTTAAGTCAACACAGCCCAGTGCCGCTATTCTTTAAGCATCTCTAGCCTATTATAAATCGCAGTCAACACTTTTTATCATGCCTTAGGTTTATCCGAACTAGTTTGATTAAATGTGCGAGCAAATATACAAGATTTTAAACGTCGCTAAAATACAATTGAAGCAAAAGTTGTAAAACGACTGTCACAAAGACTTTTAAACTAAATTGTCTAAATGGGACCTCAAAAAAGAAAAATCGACTTAACATAAATCCGAAGTTTTAAAATAACAGTCAAAATAGATTTGATATCCATTTAGCTCCTTGGCAGCCGTCCACAACCTCCAAATGTCAGCTCGGCTTACATTAACGAGGATATGGTCATTCATATATTTAGAAAGTGTAATAAAAACCCCCAAAAAATTAATTACTTAAAATTAATTTTTCAAATTAATTTGATTATATTTGGTTCTTAAAGTTCGGAGAATTCGTTTGAATTAAAGGTTATGCGTCTGATCAGAGAAAATTTTATTTCATTCGCTTTAAATTTATAAAATAACTACTTAATATAAATTTTTAAATTAATTTAGATGAAATTTAAAAAGTCATCTAAAAAATACTCTTTGTATTTTTTGATTTTATTGGGTATTTTTGTTTCTAATTCGGTTGTTAGGGCTGTTTTTTTGGGGAAGAAAATTTTGCCTATCAAAAATTAGAAAAAGTGGATGAACAAGAAATGGATATGGAAAAAGAGATAGATATTGCTAAAGAGATCGAAGCTTTAAAAGAAGAAGCACGTCAAATTGGAAATTTTGATAAATTTGAGAAGGATGCACTTCCTGTTATTGAAACTTTAACTGATGCTAACAAACTATTTATATATATTAACACAATTGGAGATATATATAAATTAGATAGTCAAATTCCAACATTCTTTAAGGATGTTTTAACGTTTGAAAAGTTTGTTAAACATTTTAACCATCGCTACCAAATTGTAAAAAACGATCCGGAAAAATCGGAAAGAAAGAAGCAAAAGTTTGAGGTCTGTGAATTTATATAATTTTATAAATAATGTCCAAAGGTTTACTACAATATCGAAATATTTATTTGGAAATCCATTTTGAAAATATTTGAAATTTTTTAGAACTGCTTAATATTATGTAAACAAATCATTAAAAATCCGATTTTATTCAAATTTCAAAAACTATTTCTCGATCTCGGGCTAACCTCTTTTCATTTAAAATTCCACTCCTAATATAAGATCACTAAAATCAATTCAAAATTTAAAAAAATTATTATTTATTAATTTTTTATTTATTATCGGATTGGCCATTGGCCGTAATCACATCCGACTTTAAAATTTGGAAAAATTTCTAAATCAAAATTTTTTAAAGAAATTGCATGGGTATTTGGAAACATTGAAAAATAATGATTTTTTAAAATTCCTGGAAAACATTAAAATGTGCGATATTACGTCAAGTCTCCACAAAACTTTCAAAAACAACAAAAAATTTGTAGAATATTTAGAGAATGTATGCGAAGGTCATAAAGGAACTTTCAAACTTTTACACGTTAAGTTTGAATATAACCTTGATATAGATGATATAGTCAAAATGTTTAACAAAGCATTGAATCATTTTACAAAAAATGAAAGTGCAGACGACTCGATAAAGCGTTTCTTTGAAAGATTTGAAAAGGATGGATTATTATATCGTGTTGGCCGTAAACTTGAAAAATTTGGCAAAAATTTGGGTAAAAAACATGACGAAAAGCATCAGAAAAAAGATTAAAGTAAAATGAAAAGCATAAGGAGCAAACAAGTTATATGAGTTATGGAGTTTCGATTAAAAACAAACCAAGAAACATTGGACGTTTGTACATAAAAGATTTTTTAAACATTTATTTAACCCGCTTCTGTGAAGTTTAAAACTGTCTCTCACTCAGTATAATGTTGAGAATTTTTATATTCTCAACAGGGTATACTGTAACTCCGTTTAACACAAAAACTTGAAAATTCCTCGGTGGTCAGTAAAAATATAAAAATATTTCTTTCGATTTGAGCTTACCAAAGATTTCGTCAACCCTTGGGATAACTTTATAAACGTATATTATTCTTAGTCTAAAGTGAATTTGGAAGCCAAAAATTTTACAATCTTTTTTTCAAGACAGTTTCATTTTTCGTTTATTAAATTTACACGTATTTATTCATCTTTGTTTTAAAATTTTTTTTTGCATAAATTTTTTGGGTAAATGTTTTTCTTGTTTTATATAAAAAAGTAAGAAAAAAATTTTTCGTAGAATGTTTTTCGATTGTAAAAATTATTCATTACATATACATATCACAAATTTAGAGAATTTAGTATCAAATATTTAAAGCAGAAGGCAGCCTCCCTTTACAGTTAGCTGACCCACAAAAACATTTCTTCAAAGAAAGTATTACGGAATTTGGAGATAAATTAACATCTTGCTGTTGCTGTTCTGCTTCATTTGAAAGAAACCCATAGCTATAGCTTAATTCTTCTCCTTAAATAATTTTTTTAATTCGGAATGAAGAAATCGTATATAGAAAAATGAATGCTTGTTCCCGATGAGGGTAACTTAACAAAACCATAGCAACATGTCCAAGGACCTTTATTTTAGAAGAATAACATTTTGGGCCCCAACAGATTTTTCTCCTATCGAGTTATTCAACGACAACTAAACAGATTGGATTATTTAGAACTCGACAAAACGCCCAAAGTGGGTTCTCCGTAACCTATAAGGAATTGTTATCTTTGTAAATAAAATATTGTATATTATATTGTTATAAAAACTACTCATGATTGGAATAGCCAACAATATCAGTGTCCTTAGAAACAACTTAAGGGTACTTCCAAAGCTATGTTTTGTTAAAAGGAATTAGATATATTAAAATAAAAGGAAGATTTATAAAATAATTTATTCAAAAATCAAAGAAAAATTTGAAGAATTATGTTTTTGATAATTTTTTTGAATGCTTTCTTCAAAATATTTTTTTTCAACTTCACATTTGTAAACACATTTGTAAACTTTTAAAATTTAAACAGTTTTAGCTCTTCCACCACACTTAGTTGAAACAGTACCATCCTTCTTTTTAATCACAAAATCATTTCCATTAATTTTAAGTTTAGTTTCATGAGTTTCCTTGTCATAATTAACAAGTTCAATAACACACTTATTTCCAGAAAACAATTTAGCATCTTTGAAAGGAACAGAAATTTCAGTTCCTTTTTCAGTTTCGAAAATTAATTTTCCATTTAATTCATCTCCGGTTATTTTACATTTGGTTTCGCCATTATTAATTTTGACGGTACAAGGCTCTTGGTTGTCCACATTTAAGGTCATTTGAGTAGTTTTGAATATTTGAGCATTTCCAGACATTTTTAGAGTATTTTGTACATCTGGTTTGTTTGCTCTTGCTGGGGAAATTTTGTCTTTGTCTCCTAAATGAATAAGGGTTCCAACCTCCTTACAGCTCGAGGTAGAGGCCCCCTCCCTCGGCTATGGCAATAAAAGCCAATGAAATGATTAGAAGGGTAGTAGTGTAGAGGAGAGCCATTTTAGATTTGTTTTGGGGTGTTTTGTGTATTTTTTAGTTGTTGAGGAGATTGTTTGATGGTTGGATAGCTAATTAATTGGTGTTTATATATTAATGGACTTTAGGGGTTTTGAAGGTTTCGTTATAATTTCATCATATCACTTAAAAGTGCAATTACATTATGTTATACATCATATTACGTGTTATAAAATTGGTAAATCTATCACGTAATATGATGTATACAATAATGTAATTGCACTTTTAAAAAGTGATATGATGACATCTAACCCCCAAAGTCCATTAATATATAAACACCAATTAATTAGCTATCCAACCATCAAACAATCTACTCAACAACTAAAAAATCCACAAAACACCCCAAAACAAATCTAAAATGGCTCTCCTCTTCACTACTACCCTTCTAATCATTTCATTAGCTTTTATTGCCATAGCTGAGGGAACAGGCGATCGAAAGGCCTCTACCTCGAGCTGTAAGGAGGTTGGAACCCTTATTCATTTAGGGGACAAAGACAAAATTCCCCCAGCAAAAGCAAACAAACCAGATGTACAAAATACCTAAAAATGTCTGGAAATGCTCAAATATTCAAAACTACTCAAGTGACCTTAAATGTGGACAACCAAGAGCCTTGTACCGTTAAAATTAATAATGGCGAAACCAAATGTAAAATAACCGGAGATGAATTAAATGGAAAATTAATTTTCGAAACTGAAAAAGGAACTGAAATTTCTGTTCCTTTCAAAGATGCTAAATTGTTTTCTGGAAATAAGTGTGTTATAGAACTTGTCACTTATAACAAGGAAACTCATGAAACTAAACTTAAAATTAATGGAAATGATTTTGTGATTAAAAAGAAGGATGGTACTGTGTCAACTAAGTGTGGCGGAAGAGCTAAAACTGTTTGAATTTTAAAAGTGTGAATTGAAAGAGAAAGAGAATATAAACAAATGTGAAGTTGAGAAAAAATATTTTGAAGAAAGCATTCCAAAAAATAATCAAAAAAAATTAATTCTTCAAATTTTTCTTTGATTATTGAATAAATTATTTTATAAATCTTTATTTGTATACCTAATTTCTTTAACAAAAACTCGAACCAGGGCTTGAACAGCTTGAAGAGCTGAGTAAGATAAGCCCTAAACATCTGATTTTGAACTTTTACCCCGAATTCAACTTGGTCGAATTCGGGTCCGGGATTCGAAATAAACAAATATTAAGCTTAGATTCGGACTTAACAGACTCGATTACTTACTGGCAAGCCTCAAAAATACCGAAGGAGCATTTTTTACTAATTTCTTTCTAGGGCCCAATGATCTTAAGGATTAACGAAGGTCCTTCTCCATCTAATAATGTTTCTACGTCGATTTTATCGTCAATATCAATATTATAAAAAGAATCCATTCTTAAATAATAATTACGAATATACGTACGAGAATATTAATAAAAATTATGAATTATTTTTTCACCTCTAAAAGGGTCATTCAATTAAAGGGGTCATTCAAATAGAGCGGGTAATTATATTTTTCAATAGCTTCAAAAATGGGTCATTCAGTTAGAAGGGTCATTAAAATAGAAGAGTCATTCAATTAGAGTAAATACGGTATATTGTGATTAGTTGGTGGTTTAAAAGTGGATTTGAGGGATATAAAGGGATTATTTCGGGTTATAAAGGAGTTCTGAATTGATCAAGGAACCTAAAAGATAACATTGGAATAAGGTTGGATAAAGGAATTTGAGTGAATAATGACGAATGAGTCATTTTAGATGATTTTGGTTGATTAACCCCCCCCCCCCCCCCGAGCGTTCTGGGTGCAACCCTAATTAAGAGTGATCAAGAGATAAAATTGAATCATGAATCCTCCTCAATCCACCAATATTTCATCTCTAACTCTAATCCAAAAATCCTCAGATATCCAAATCACTGATATCCAGCTCTCATTATTTGATCATTTGATAGCACACCAAATATGGATACCATAAGATTCAAATATCATAAGGCTCAATCTTATACTAATTTGGGTATTTGCGAATTATTTATAAAGGAATTATTTTGAAAATCCAAGTTCGGATCCGGCATTTTTCAAATTACGAACTCTAATTGATTTAACCATTTAGAATTTTGAAATAAATTTTCCTAAGATAAATCATGGAGGAGGGTTGAAAAATAGTACACCCCCTGAATTAGTAGTAAAGAGACTTTGGAGGAGTGAAAAATAGTACTCCCGGGAGTACTACTTCAAGAAATACTATATTGTTCCAAAAAATACTCGAGCTTGGAATTGCCAACAATATCATTACATTAGGAGCAACTTAGGAAACTTCCTAAAGCCCTGGTTCGAGTTTTTGTTAAAGAAATTAGGTATACAAATAAAGATTTATAAAATAATTTATTCAAAAATCAAAGAAAAATTTGAAGAATTAATTTTTTGATTATTTTTTTGGAATGCTTTCTTCAAAATATTTTTTCTCATCTTCACATTTGTTTATATTCTCTTCCTCTTTCAATACACACTTTTAAAATTTAAACAGTTTTAGCTCTTCCGCCACACTTAGTTGACACAGTACCATCTTTCTTTTTAATCACAAAATCATTTCCATTAATTTTAAGTTTAGTTTCATGAGTTTCCTTGTCATAACCAACAAGTTCAATAACACACTTATTTCCAGAAAACAATTTAGCATCTTTGAAAGGAACAGTAATTTCAGTTCCTTTTTCAGTTTCGAAAATTAATTTTCCATTTAATTCATCTCCGGTTATTTTACATTTGGTTTCGCCATTATTAATTTTAACGGTACAAGGCTCTTGGTTGTCCACATTTAAGGTCAATTGAGTAGTTTTGAATATTTGAGCATTTCCAGACATTTTTAGAGTATTTTGTACATTTGGTTTGTTTGCTTTTGCTGGGGGAATTTTGTCTTTGTCCCCTAAATGAATAAGGGTTCCAACCTCCTTACAGCTCGAGGTAGAGGCCTTTCGATCGCCTGTTCCCTCGGCTATGGCAATAAAAGCCAATGAAATGATTAGAAGGGTAGTAGTGTAGAGGAGAGCCATTTTAGATTTGTTTTGGGGTGTTTTGTGTATTTTTTAGTTGTTGAGGAGATTGTTTGATGGTTGGATAGCTAATTAATTGGTGTTTATATATTAATGGACTTTAGGGGTTTTGAAGGTTTCGTTATAATTTCATCATATCACTTAAAAGTGCAATTACATTATGTTATACATCATATTACGTGTTATAAAATTGGTAAATCTATCACGTAATATGATGTATACAATAATGTAATTGCACTTTTAAAAAGTGATATGATGACATCTAACCCCCAAAGTCCATTAATATATAAACACCAATTAATTAGCTATCCAACCATCAAACAATCTACTCAACAACTAAAAAATCCACAAAACACCCCAAAACAAATCTAAAATGGCTCTCCTCTTCACTACTACCCTTCTAATCATTTCATTGGCTTTTATTGCCATAGCTGAGGGAACAGGCGATCGAAAAGCCTCTACCTCGAGCTGTAAGGTGGTTGGAACACTTATTCATTTAGGGGACAAAGACAAAATTCCCCCAGCAAAAGCAAACAAACCAGATGTACAAAATACTCTAAAAATGTCTGGAAATGCTCAAATATTCAAAACTAATCAAGTGACCTTAAATGTGGACAACCAAGAGCCTTGTACCGTTAAAATTAATAATGGCGAAACCAAATGTAAAATAACCGGAGATGAATTAAACGGAAAATTTATTTTCGAAACTGAAAAAGGAACTGAAATTACTGTTCCTTTCAAAGATGCTAAATTGTTTTCTGGAAATAAGTGTGTTATTGAACTTGTTGGTTATGACAAGGAAACTCATGAAACTAAACTTAAAATTAATGGAAATGATTTTGTGATTAAAAAGAAGGATGGTACTGTTTCAACTAAGTGTGGCGGAAGAGCTAAAACTGTTTAAATTTTAAAAGTGTGAATTGAAAGAGGAAGAGAATATAAACAAATATGAAGTTGAGAAAAAATATTTTGAAGAAAGCATTCCAAAAAATTTTAAAAAAATAATTCTTCAAATTTTTCTTTGATTTTTGAATAAATTATTTTATAAATCTTTATTTGTATACCTAATTTCTTTAACAAAAACTCGAACTAGGGCTATAGGAAGTTTCCCTAAGTTGCTCCTAATGTACTGATATTGTTTGCAATTCCAAGTCCCCCCTGAATTAGTATTCCCCTCTCAAATAATACTTTGGAGACGGTTTTATCTGAACCATTTGGAGGAGGGTTCAAAAATAGTACTCACCCTTGAATTAGTACTCCCCTCTCAAATAATACTTTGGAGACTGTTTTATCTGAACCCTTTGGAGGAGGGTTCAAAAATAGTACTCACCCCTGAATTAGTACTCCCCTCTCAAATAATACTTTGGAGACGGTTTTATCTGAACCCTTTGGAGGAGGGTTCAAAAATAGTACTCACACTTGAATTAGTACTCCCCTCTCAAATAATACTTTGGAGACTGTTTTATCTGAACCCTTTGGAGGAGGGTTCAAAAATAGTACTCACCCCTGAATTAGTACTCCCCTCTCAAATAATACTTTGGAGACGGTTTTATCTGAACCATTTGGAGGAGGGTTCAAAAATAGTACTCCCCTGAATTAGTACTCCCCCCTAAATAATACTTTGGAGACGGTTTTATCTGAACCATTTGGAGGAGGGTTCAAAAATAGTACTCACCCCTGAATTAGTACTCCCCTCTCAAATAATACTTTGGAGACGGTTTTATCTGAACCCTTTGGAGGAGGGTTCAAAAATAGTACTCACCCCTGAATTAGTACTCCCCTCTCAAATAATACTTTTGAGACAATTTTATCTGAACCATTTGGAGGAGGGTTCAAAAATAGTACTCACCCCTGAATTTGTACTCCCCTCTCAAATAATACTTTGGAGACGGTTTTATCTGAACCATTTGGAGGAGGGTTCAAAAATAGTACTCACCCCTGAATTAGTACTCCCCACTCAAATAATACTTTGGAGACGGTTTTATCTGAACCATTTGGAGGAGGGTTCAAAAATAGTACTCACCCCTGAATTAGTACTCCCCTCTCAAATAATACTTTGGAGACGGTTTTATCTGAACCATTTGGAGGAGGGTTCAAAAATAGTACTCACCCTTGAATTAGTACTACCCTCTTAAATAATACTTTGGAGACTGTTTTATCTGAACACTTTGGAGGAGGGTTCAAAAATAGTACTCCCCTGAATTAGTGCTCCCCCTAAATAATACTCCCTCTATAATATTTTTCTCCTATATTTGAAAAACTAATAAAAATGTAGAAGGTTTCTCAATATTTAATTTTCAAAATTTTATTCTCAAATTTAATTCTCAAAATTTTTCCTTAATTTAACCCAAACAAAAAATATTTTCTTTTTAAATTTTTATTTTTGGAGAAAAATGTGTGTGTGAACAAACAGTATATTTTTTTAACTTTTTATACTCCCATTAAAATCTATTGTTTTTCTTTTTCCTTCTTTATTTCCCTTCTTTATTTTCCAGCAGCTGCCACTAAAATAATGTAATATAAATTTTGTGTGGGCTTATTCTTAATTAATTGCTTTATTTACTTCTTTTTTAACAATTAAATTCTTATTTTACTAAAAATCTTTTTTTTTAATTTATTACCCTAATTTTCCCTAATTTTTATAAATTTTATTATTTTGCACTTTCATGAAACAACTGTTTTAATTTTTTATTATTTTTATTTTCTTCTTCTTATTCTCTATTTTTTGTATTTTTTGTATTTTTTGTGTTTTTTTGTATTTTTATATTTTTTCCCTATATATTTGATTACCTATTTTCGGGCCGACAACGTCGGCCCGCTACAAAAAAGGGTAAATTTTATTTTTGAATTTGTATTTTATTTAGGTTTAAGGAGATATATTGTAATTAGTTGGTGGGAAAAAAGTGGATTTGAGGGATATAAAGGGATTATTTCGGGTTATAAAGGAGTTCTGAATTGATCAAGGGGACCTAAAAGATATCATTGGATTAAGGTCGGATAAAGGAATTTGAGGGAATAAGGACGAATGAGTCATATTATATGATTTTGGTTGATTAACCCCGACACACCCACCCACGAGCGTTCGGGGTGCAACCCTAATTAAGAGTGATCAAGAGATAAAATTGAATCATGAATCGTTCTCAATCCACCAATATTTCTTCTCTACCTCTGAACCAAAAATCCTCAGATATCCAAATCACTGATACACTGCTTACATTATTTGATCACTTTATATCACGCCAAATATGGATATCATAAGATTCAAATATCATACGCTCAATTTTATACTAATTTGGGTATTTGCGAATTATTTATAAAGGAATTATTTTGAAAATCCAAGTTCGGATCCGGCATTATTCAAATTACGAACTCTAATCGATTTAAACATTTAGAATTTTGAAATAAACTTTCCTAAGATAAATCATGGAGGAGGGTTGAAACATAGTACTCCCCCTGAATTCGTATTACCCCTGAATTAGTACTCCTCCTATATTAATACTCCCCTTTGGAGGAGGGTTGAAAAATAGTACTCCCGGGAGTACTATTTCAAGAAATACTATAAATATTATTCTAAAAACTACTCGAGCTTGGAATTGCCAACAAAATCAGTACATTAGGATCAACTTAGGGAAACTTCCTATAGCCCTGGTTCGAGTTTTTGTTAAAGAAATTAGGTATACAAATAAAGATTTATAAAATAATTTATTCAAAAATCAAAGAAAAATTTGAAGAATTAATTTTTTTAATTTTTTTGTAATGCTTTCTTCAAAATATTTTTTTCATCTTCACATTTGTTTATATTCTCTTCCTCTTTCAATTCACAATTTTAAACTTTAAACAGTTTTAGCTCTTCCACCACACTTAGTTGAAACGGTACCATCCTTTTTTTTAATCACAAAATCATTTCCATTAATTTTAAGTTTAGTTTCATGAGTTTCCTTGTCATAACTAACAAGTTCAATAACACACTTATTTCCAGAAAACAATTTAGCATCTTTGAAAGGAACAGAAATTTCAGTTCCTTTTTCAGTTTCGAAAATTAATTTTCCATTTAATTCATCTCCGGTTATTTTACATTTGGTTTCGCCATTATTAATTTTAACGGTACAAGGCTCTTGGTTGTCCACATTTAAGGTCACTTGAGTAGTTTTGAATATTTGAGCATTTCCAGACATTTTTAGAGTATTTTGCACATCTGGTTTGTTTGCTTTTGCTGGGGGAATTTTGTCTTTGTCCCCTAAATGAATAAGGGTTCCAACCTCCTTACAGCTCGAGGTAGAGGCCTTTCGATCGCCTGTTCCCTCAGATATGGCAATAAAAGCCAATGAAATGATGAGAAGGGTAGAAGTGTAGAGGAGAGCCATTTTAGAGTTGTTTTGGGGTTGCTTTGTGGATTTTTAAATTGTTGAGGAGATTGTTTGATTGTTGGATAGCTAATTAATTGGTGTTTATATATTAATGGACTTTGGGGATTAAATGTTTCGTTATAATTTCATCATATCACTTCTTAAAAGTGCAATTACATTATGTTATACATCATATTACATGATAGATTTACCAATTTTATAACACGTAATATGATGTATAACATAATGTAATTGCACTTTTCAAAAGTGATATGATGAAATTATAACGAAACTTTCAAACCCCCAAAGTCCATTAATATATAAACACCAATTAATTAGTTATCCAACCATCAAACAATCTCCTAAACAATTTAAAAATCCACAAAGCACCCCAAAACAACTCTAAAATGGCATTCCTCTACACTTCTACCCTTCTAATCATTTCATTGGCTTTTATTGCCATAGCTGAGGGAACAGGCGATCGAAAGGCCTCTACCTCGAGCTGTAAGGAGGTTGGAACCCTTATTCATTTAGGGGACAAAGACAAAATTCCCCCAGCAAAAGCAAACAAACCAGATGTGCAAAATACTCTAAAAATGTCTGGAAATGCTCAAATATTCAAAACTACTCAAGTGACCTTAAATGTGGACAACCAAGAGCCTTGTACCGTTAAAATTAATAATGGCGAAACCAAATGTAAAATAACCGGAGATGAATTAAATGGAAAATTAATTTTCGAAACTGAAAAAGGAACTGAAATTTCTGTTCCTTTCAAAGATGCTAAATTGTTTTCTGGAAATAAGTGTGTTATTGAACTTGTTAATTATGACAAGGAAACTCATGAAACTAAACTTAAAATTAATGGAAATGATTTTGTGATTAAAAAGAAGGATGGTACTGTTTCAACTAAGTGTGGTGGAAGAGCTAAAACTGTTTAAATTGTAAAGGTGTGAATTGAAAGAGGAAGAGAATATAAACAAATGTGAAGAGAGAAAAAATATTTTGAAGAAAGCATTAAAAAAATTATCAAAAAATAATTCTTCAAATTTTTCTTTGATTTTTGAATAAATTATTTTATAAATCTTTATTTGTATACCTAATTTCTTTAACAAAAAGCGAACAAGGGCTTTAGGAAGTTTCCCTAAGTTGCCCCAAATTACTGATATTGATGGCAATTCCAAGCTCGAGTAGTTTTTGGAACAATATACCGTATTTCCTGTAATAGTACTCACCGCTGAATTAGTACTCCCCCCTCAAATAATACTCCCCTTTGGAGGAGGGTTCAAAAATAGTACTCCCCCCTGAATTAGTAATCCCCCCTTAAATAATACTCCCCCTATAATATTTTCCTCTATATTTGAAAAAAATAATAAAAAAGGGCAAATTTTACTTGTGAATTTGTATTTTATTTAGGTTTAAGAAGATATATTGTGATTAGTTGGTGGGTAAATGTGGATTTGAGGGATATAAAGGGTTTATTTCGGATTATAAAGGAGTTATGAATTATCAAGGGGACCTAAAAGATATCTTTGGATTAAGGTTGGATAAAGGAATTTGTGGGAATATTTACGAATGAGTCATATTAGATGATTTTGCTTGATTAACCCCGACATATCCGCCCCCGAGCGTTCGGGGTGCATCCTAATTAAGAGTGATCAAGAAATAAAATTGAATCATGAATCCTTCTCAATCCACCGATATTTCTTCTCTACCTCTAATCCAAAAATCCTCAGATATCAAAATCACTGATATCCAGCTTACATTATTTGATCACTTGATATCACGCCAAATATGGATATCATAAGATTCAAATATCATAAGGCTCAATTTTATACTAATTTGGGTATTTGCGAATTATTTATAAAGGAATTATTTTGAATATCCAAGTTCGGATCCGGCATTTTTCAAATTATGAACTCTAATTGTTTTAAACATTTAGAATTTTGAAATAAATTTGGTAATATGTAGTTTGGAATTCGCCCCTCCTTTTTTCAACGTTTCCCTGACCAATTTGAGCTTTTTTGTTTGATACATAATTTATCAATAACATTTGAATGAGCTCTTCTAACTTGGTCGAATGATACCAAGATTGGCTTAATCTGATCATTCTTTCCAAAATTATGAAGATAAATCCTATTTGGGTAAACTTTTTGTGCCAATGCAAGTGGATAAAATAAACGGTCACAACTTCGTTCACTTAAGTCAAATTTCTTGATTTAATTAGTGTTCGGCAAATGGATTTTTTCGGTACCGGTACCGGGAGTACCGAAAAGTCCCGATACCGACGGGAGTACCGAAAATTCCCAATACCGAAAAGTACCGAAATTTCCAAAATTTGTTCGGGACGGTTCCGGTTCCGGGAGTACCGAAAATTCCCGACTCAGTAGTTTCGGGAGTACCGAACCGTGCCGAACACTAATTTTAATGTGATTCGACTCAGCTTGAAGAGCTCTTTCGAATGATATATAATTTACCGTAAAATGAGAAAAAACTAAGGAAAAATAGAAAGGAAAAAAGGGGGCGAATTCCAAACAATTATCATAAATTATCCTAAGATAAATCATGGAGGATGGTTGAAAAATAGTACTCCCGGGAGTACTATTACAGGAGATACGGTATATTGAACTACTCGAGCTTGGAATTGCCAACAATATCAGTAATTTGGAGCAACTTAGGGAAACTTCCTAAAGCCCTGGTTCGAATTTTTGTTAAAGAGATTAGGTATACAAATAAAGATTTATAAAATAATTTATTCAAAAATCAAAGAAAAATTTGAAGAATTATTTTTTGATAATTTTTTTAATGCTTTCTTCAAAATATTTTTTCTCATCTTCACATGTGTTTATATTCTCTTCCTCTTTCAATTCACACTTTTAAAATTTAAACAGTTTTAGCTCTTCCGCCACACTTAGTTGAAACAGTACCATCCTTCTTTATAATCATAAAATCATTTCCATTAATTTTAAGTTTAGTTTCATGAGTTTCCTTGTCATAATTAACAAGTTCAATAACACACTTATTTCCAGAAAACAATTTAGCATCTTTGAAAGGAACAGAAATTTCAGTTCCTTTTTCAGTTTCGAAAATTAATTTTCCATTTAATTCATCTCCGGTTATTTTACATTTGGTTTCGCCATTATTAATTTTAACGGTACAAGGCTCTTGGTTGTCCACATTTAAGGTCACTTGAGTAGTTTTGAATATTTGAGCATTTCCAGACATTTTTAGAGTATTTTGTACATCTGGTTTGTTTGCTCTTGCTGGGGGAATTTTGTCTTTGTCCCCTAAATGAATAAGGGTTCCAACCTCCTTACAGCTCGAGGTAGAGGCCTTTCGATCGCCTGTTCCCTCAGCTATGGCAATAAAAGCCAATGAAATGATTAGAAGGGTAGAAGTGTAGAGGAATGCCATTTTAGAGTTGTTTTGGGGTGCTTTGTGGATTTTTAAATTGTTTAGGAGATTGTTTGATGGTTGGATAACTAATTAATTGGTGTTTATATATTAATGGACTTCTGAAAAGTGCAATTACATTATGTTATACATCATATTACGTGATAGATTTACCAATTTTATAACACGTAATATGATGTATAACATAATGTAATTGCACTTTTAAAAAGTGATATGATGAAACTATATCGAAACATCTGGCAATAACTTTCAAATCCCCAAAGTCCATTAATATATAAACACCAATTAATTAGCTATCCAACAATCAAACAATCTCCTCAACAATTTAAAAATCCACAAAGCAACCCCAAAACAACTCTAAAATGGCTCTCCTCTACACTTCTACCCTTCTCATCATTTCATTGGCTTTTATTGCCATATCTGAGGGAACAGGCGATCGAAAGGCCTCTACCTCGAGCTGTAAGGAGGTTGGAACCCTTATTCATTTAGGGGACAAAGACAAAATTCCCCCAGCAAGAGCAAACAAACCAGATGTACAAAATACTCTAAAAATGTCTGGAAATGCTCAAACATTCAAAACTACTCAAGTGACCTTAAATGTGGACAACCAAGAGCCTTGTACCGTTAAAATTAATAATGGCGAAACCAAATGTAAAATAACCGGAGATGAATTAAATGGAAAATTAATTTTCGAAACTGAAAAAGGAACTGAAATTACTGTTCCTTTCAAAGATGCTAAATTGTTTTCTGGAAATAAGTGTGTTATTGAACTTGTTAATTATGACAAGGAAACTCATGAAACTAAACTTAAAATTAATGGAAATGATTTTGTGATTAAAAAGAAGGATGGTACTGTTTCAACTAAGTGTGGCGGAAGAGCTAAAACTGTTTAATTTTTAAAAGAGTGAATTGAAAGAGGAAGAGAATATAAACAAATGTGAAGTTGAGAAAAAATATTTTGAAGAAAGCATTCCAAAAAATTAAAAAAAAATAATTCTTCAAATTTTTCTTTGATTTTTGAATAAATCATTTTATTAAATATTGTTTTTACTACTAAATCTTACTCTTATTTATTAAAAAATGATAATTCCTTATAGGCGTTGATCGGACCAGGGTCATGGCCATCGGAAATTTTCTGAATTTCCCTGGGAGCCGTGATGTAGGTACAGCCCAAAACAACGCAAATCCATACTAGCTGGAAAATTTCTGGTCCTCAGCAATTTTAGTACCAATATTTTTAGCTTGACAAGTTGCTTTATTCTCACTAATAACCGTGACATTTCTATTTTCTAAGTCCAAATCTATGTATTTTCTACTAGAGAAATCCCCAAAATATATAAATCTACAAGAGGCCAATTTTAATATAAAAATCGACCTTCCAAAATATCTCGACTTGCAAACATTGCCAATGAAGGTGAAGCCCTTCCCAAACGAAATACTTGCAGAAACAAATTTGGCTCACAGCTATGATTAATAAAACGAGAAATGTTCCCTTTGTAACGGCCATCAATAAAAGTGTACCGACATTCACCTAAGTTAATTTTTTGAATATTTAGTTTCAAATGATTAATGAAAATTTGACTTTGTTAAATAAATTTTACTCCTTGCAAGACAATGCAAGAGTAAAAGGAACAGGAAAAGACTATAGGAGTTCCGATTTTAGAATGTTAGGTTTCTAAAGGCTCTATCTCTGTCATAAAGCCTTAGTGGTAGATAAATTACACCGGCTAGTGAATATTTACCTATATTAATAAAAATAGGAAAGTATGAACAGCAAATTTTGAACAATAAGAACACGAATAAACAATATGTTTGCCTTTAGTGCAAAAATTCGTTGAAAAATAGTTCGAAAATAACCATAGTAGAATGAACACAGACCGAAGGGAATGATTGTGCCCCATCCAGCCCTACTTTTTGCTTGCGCGAAGGGTTCTATCTGACTATCGCCTTTTCACCTTCCCTTTATAAAATTTTAAAAAAATGAGGAAAAAGGGAATTAATTTTTAGTTTTAAAGGAATCTTAAAGGATCACATTTTCTTTATTTTAATTTAAAAAAATAGGCCTACCCCCAATAAATTCTCTAATTGTAAAAAGATAGTTGTGATGTTGTTGACTTGTTAATCTCTCTTCCGCCTCTTCCTTTGATACAAGTTCACCCACATATTCAACCACAAAGTGTCCAGCAGGTATCTTTTCTTGAGCAAATACCCCAAAACCTTTTTGTTCAGAATCACATTTTGCTACCTTTTTAGAAAAATATTTTTCAAAAGTGAAAATTTTTTTAAATTAACACCTTCAATTTAAACTTAATTCCAAATTGAATGTTCCTATTTGTACATTTTTCTGGACATAGGGCGCATTCACAATTGTCAGAACATTCCAAATGAACAGAACTTGAAGCAGAATTTGGCGAATGAAAAAAGCGGCCATCCTTGTAATAATTAGGCTATTTAAAGTTAATTCTGGTTTTTAATAAATTACAAATTCTGATTTTAATAAATTTACAAATTCTGATTTTAATAAATTTACAAATTCTGATTTTTAATAAATTACAAATTCTGATTTTAATAAAAAATTCTGATTTTAATAAAAAATTCTGATTTTTAATAAATTATAAATTCTGGTTTTAATAAATTACAAATTCTGATTTTTAATAAATTACAAATTCTGATTTTAATAAATTACAAATTCTGATTTTTAATAAATTATAAATTCTGATTTTAATAAATTACAAATTCTGATTTTTAATAAATTACAAATTATGATTTTAATAAATTACAAATTCTGATTTTTAATAAATTACAAATTCTGATTTTAATAAAAAATTCTGATTTTAATAAAAAATTCTGATTTAATAAAAAATTCTGATTTTTAATAAATTATAAATTCTGGTTTTAATAAATTACAAATTCTGATTTTAATAAAAAATTCTGATTTTTAATAAATTATAAATTCTGGTTTTAATAAATTACAAATTCTGATTTTAATAAAAAATTCTGATTTTAATAAAAAATTCTGATTTTTAATAAATTATAAATTCTGGTTTTAATAAATTACAAATTCTGATTTTAATAAAAAATTCTGATTTTAATAAAAAATTCTGATTTTTAATAAATTATAAATTCTGGTTTTAATAAATTACAAATTCTGATTTTAATAAAAAATTCTGATTTTAATAAAAAATTCTGATTTTTAATAAATTATAAATTCTGATTTTAATAAAAAATTCTGATTTTAATAAAAAATTCTGATTTTTAATAAATTATAAATTCTGGTTTTAATAAATTACAAATTCTGATTTTTAATAAATTACAAATTCTGATTTTAATAAATTACAAATTCTGATTTTTAATAAATTATAAATTCTGATTTTAATAAATTACAAATTCTGATTTTTAATAAATTACAAATTCTGATTTTAATAAATTACAAATTCTGATTTTTAATAAATTACAAATTCTGATTTTAATAAAAAATTCTGATTTTAATAAAAAATTCTGATTTTTAATAAATTATAAATTCTGGTTTTAATAAATTACAAATTCTGATTTTTAATAAATTTACAAATTCTGATTTTAATAAATTTACAAATTCTGATTTTTAATAAATTACAAATTCTGATTTTAATAAAAAATTCTGATTTTAATAAAAAATTCTGATTTTTAATAAATTATAAATTCTGGTTTTAATAAATTACAAATTCTGATTTTTAATAAATTACAAATTCTGATTTTAATAAATTACAAATTCTGATTTTTAATAAATTATAAATTCTGATTTTAATAAATTACAAATTCTGATTTTTAATAAATTACAAATTCTGATTTTAATAAATTACAAATTCTGATTTTTAATAAATTACAAATTCTGATTTTAATAAAAAATTCTGATTTTAATAAAAAATTCTGATTTTAATAAAAAATTCTGATTTTTAATAAATTATAAATTCTGGTTTTAATAAATTACAAATTCTGATTTTAATAAAAAATTCTGATTTTAATAAAAAATTCTGATTTTTAATAAATTATAAATTCTGGTTTTAATAAATTACAAATTCTGATTTTAATAAAAAATTCTGATTTTAATAAAAAATTCTGATTTTTAATAAATTATAAATTCTGGTTTTAATAAATTACAAATTCTGATTTTAATAAAAAATTCTGATTTTAATAAAAAATTCTGATTTTTAATAAATTATAAATTCTGATTTTAATAAAAAATTCTGATTTTTAATAAATTATAAATTCTGGTTTTAATAAATTACAAATTCTGATTTTAATAAAAAATTCTGATTTTAATAAAAAATTCTGATTTTTAATAAATTATAAATTCTGGTTTTAATAAATTACAAATTCTGATTTTAATAAAAAAATTCTGATTTTAATAAAAAATTCTGATTTTTAATAAATTATAAATTCTGATTTTAATAAAAAATTCTGATTTTAATAAAAAATTCTGATTTTTAATAAATTATAAATTCTGGTTTTAATAAATTACAAATTCTGATTTTTAATAAATTACAAATTCTGATTTTAATAAATTACAAATTCTGATTTTTAATAAATTATAAATTCTGATTTTAATAAATTACAAATTCTGATTTTTAATAAATTACAAATTCTGATTTTAATAAATTACAAATTCTGATTTTTAATAAATTACAAATTCTGATTTTAATAAAAAATTCTGATTTTAATAAAAAATTCTGATTTTTAATAAATTATAAATTCTGGTTTTAATAAATTACAAATTCTGATTTTTAATAAATTTACAAATTCTGATTTTAATAAATTTACAAATTCTGATTTTTAATAAATTACAAATTCTGATTTTAATAAAAAATTCTGATTTTAATAAAAAATTCTGATTTTTAATAAATTATAAATTCTGGTTTTAATAAATTACAAATTCTGATTTTTAATAAATTACAAATTCTCATTTTAATAAATTACAAATTCTGATTTTTAATAAATTATAAATTCTGATTTTAATAAATTACAAATTCTGATTTTTAATAAATTACAAATTCTGATTTTAATAAATTACAAATTCTGATTTTTAATAAAT